TTTCTTAATATGGGAACCCAATCGTCTCCTTCGACCATATTTCCCCGATCAGTTCAAATTTCGAACCAGTGTGGAAGCAGACAAACTTGAGCGATTTCGGATAGTATTAAGAGTGCTAGCTGATGGACGACCGAGACGTCCTCTGCTCTCTGGAGTCCCACTCTCAAGCCATTGCCAACTCTAGACATGTAATTTTCCTTTCGTGTTTTACATTCTGTTTTCTTGAGATATTAACCTCATGTCTTAGTGGGGAAATCTGTAATTCTTTCTGTGTGGAATAAATTAATAATTTTAAATGTGCATGAATGCTTTGGTGGGATTTTATTGTTCTTCCTGTAGATATAGAAATCAAGAGATTGTTTTGAAGACAAGGGCATTAATTAAACAATAAACAAGAAATTAGGAGTAACTTTCTGTTGGGAATTTGTTGAAAAATATCAAGAAATTAGCTGTAGCATTAACATATGTAAGTTCTGAGTTGGATATATTGAAGGGAAGTAATAGTGGATCATAAATTTCTAATTTGTGAACCATTTAAATTTTGTTTGCTTGTACTGCATGGATGGTCAGTCATACCATGTATGTTGGGAAAAATGGCGCAACGGAATAAATTAATTCCTATTATCAAAACACGTGAACAATAACAAAGAACGGTGAAACAGGCGGCTTAGCCGACCAATATTAATGGTTAGTGAAAAAGGCGGCTTAGCCGACCAAGCAAAATAAAAATGGGCGGTTCAACCTGCCACTTAAGAAATATAAATAAAATGGGCGGTTCAACCAACCACTTAAGCGGGAAAATAAACAAGCAAAATAACACCAAATTTTACATGGAAAATCCCCCAAAAAACTATTGAGGGAAAAAACCACGGGACAAACTCCGAAGGGTATTTCACTATGTGATAAAATTGTACAGAGTATACACTCAAGTATTTTCTCTCTCTTGGTGTTTCCCACTCCCCCAGGATATGATCACAATCCTAATAAACTCACAATTTTATCATTCAATGTACTCTCTCTATGGAGCACTCTTACACCTAAGCTTTTAATGCCTAGCTCTCACCCTTTTTTTTTTCTTTCCCTTTCCCCGGAGCCCTCTTTTTTTGCTCACTTTGGTGCTGCACTCTTTTGCTTCTTGCTTGCTTTTTTGCCTTGCCATTGCATGGGTATTTATAGGGTAAAAAACCCAACTACCTCGGTGCAAATTTTCTACCTCATTAAATGAGGTTCATGTACAATGGTTGAAATAACCATTGTAACTTTCCACAATGGCTGTTGTAGCTTACAGCCTCTTGCAATAGGTTGTGGAAAATGGGCTGGAACTAGAAGCTTCTGCCAACAATGTAGACATCAGTCATTAGATAAATTTGAGTTGAAATTGTTGCTCTAGTGGTAAAATCATCAATGGATACTTTTGCTTACAAGTATACAGTGTATCCTGCAGGCATCTTAAAATTAAAATTCTGTTAAACAGATATATGAACCGAGACATATCTTCAGACAAGGCTTCTGTTGTTATGGCTGGTGTAACCGTGTAAGTGCTCATTTTATTTTGCTTCTAGAGCCTAAGAGTTGTTGTTGAAACATAACAAATATCTTTACATGTTGTTATTATTATACTGTGATCTTCATGGTTGATTTCTTGTTTCTGGACAAAAGCTAAGATAAAAAAAGTTACATCAATCAAATAATCCATCCCTCTGGCTCTGGTGTTATACAGTATACTTAAGAGTTCCGTGATGGTTATGAGGAACACATTCTCAGTTTCGGGACTAGAAACCTAAGAGGAGAGGCTCAGAGGATCTGGAAATTTCTTATTGGAGATTGCCATATCAGTTATGGATGTTAAAATGTATGAGTTACGTGTTGATGTTGCAATCACTGGCATAATGACTCCTCCATTAGCGGCACTCCAGGTGATTCCTTAAATAATTACCCTGCCACTTGAAAATTTGTTGGAAGGTGCAACTATATATAGGTGCAAAAAGGGAAAAAACTAGCAACCCAACAAGAGAGGCTCAAGGCAATCCAGAAAATTTTTATGGGAACGGCTAGATAGGGCTCTCTTCAATATGTTGGCACTTGAAGCTTTCCCTAACACCAAAGTGATTAACCTCCCCTGGCTTTGCAGTGACCACCATCATGTGTTGCTCTACTTAGAAGCAAATTTGCAAAGAGACAGGATCTCCAAACCTATCCGATTTGAGGTTGCATGGTTAACTCATGAAGATTTTAAACCGACTTTCATAAGTGCATGGCCTTCACATAGGTCATCAATAATCGCTGCCGTTAAGTCAGTTCAGGAGGCATGCTTGAAATGGAATAAGGAAGTATTTGGTAATTTATTCCATCGAAAAAGACAGTTGCGGGGTAGGTTAGAGGGCATTCAAAATTTTGAGCATTTTCCTACTTCTAGTTTTTTGTAGGACTTGGAAGCAGAGTTACTAAATGAGTATCACTAGGTTTTGCATGCAGAAGAGCTATTTTGGTGCCAAAAATCACGAGTAGAGTGGATGGCTTTTGGTGATAGAAACACGGCTTTCTATCATGCATCTACAGTAGTTCGACGAAGTTGAAATCGGATCTTAGCTTTGAAGATTGATGGTAACTGGGTAAGGGAGCATTCTGTGTTAAAATCACACATAAATGGGTTTTTTATATTGTTGTTTCCTCGAAAAGACATTCAACCCGCTAGTAGCGACAGCTTTATTTATCAACCGCGGCTAACAAATGAGGATGGTCAATCCTTGTTAAGGCCGGTATCACTAGAGGAAGTAAAAGGCGCCTTATTCTCTATGAAAGGTTTAAAGAGCCCAGGACCAAATGGAATTCAGTCAATTTTCTATCAAAAGCATTGGGAGGAAGTTTTAGGTACCCTATTGTCTTTCATTAATGGTGCATTGAGTGATGGTTATTTTGAGCTTTCATTATTACAGGCACATATTGTCTTAATCCCAAAAGGAGACAACCCTGACATCATTCAAAAATTTCGTCCAATTTGTTTGCTCAATGTTGCCTACAAAGTGCTCTCCAAAGGACTTGTGAATAGGCTACGACCCCTTCTGAATGCCCTCCAACCTACCCTGCAACTATCTTTTTTGATGGAATAAATTACCAAATACTTCCTTATTCCATTTCAAGCATGCCTCTTGAATTGACTTAATGGCAATGATTATTGATGACCTGTGTGAAGCCCATGCACTTTTGAAAGTCAGTTTAAAATCTTCATGAGTTAACCATGCAACCTCAAATCGGATAGGTTTGGAGATCATGTCTCTTTGCAAATTTGCTTCTAAGTAGAGCAACACTAGATGGTGGTCACTGCAAAGCCAGGGGAGGTTAATCACTTTGGTGTTAAGGAAAGCTTCAAGTGCCAACATATTGAAGAGAGCCCTATCTAGTCGTTCCCTTAATAGGACTCTCCTATTTTGTTTGCGTAGCCAAGTGTACTTACACCCCAAAGGTTTTGTAGAGTGTAGTCCACAACTTGAGAGCCTATCTCTGAAACGCTGGGCTCTCACAAAATGCTTTGTGGCCTTTGGGAATGCCTCATCAACCAAGAGTATATAATTGAAATCTCCCATTACCACCCAATTAGCTGAAACCTGATGAGAAATATCACAAAGCTGTTCTCAACATAAGTCCTCATAGCCGTATGAGGTTGTATATAGACAAAAGTTACCAAGCAAGCCATTTGTTGTTGAGCTAAAGAACAATGAATGAATTGTGAAGAACTGTGTAAGATCTCCAATCTCATAATATTGGAGCACCAAAACAACCAAAAACCACCTGCTCGTCCTTGAGAGGGAACTTGATAATCCTTATCAAACCCGAATCTTCACAGAAACTTAAGTGCATTAGTGGCTGAGTCTGTGTTAGTTTCAAGGAAGCAGATAATGTCTGGATGGTTCATCTTAATCAATTCTTGACACTCTCTTCGAAAAGGGCCATGCTGAACCCCCCTGCTATTCCATGTCACGATCTTCATTGAGAGGGTGCAAAGGGTGTGGTAACTGAGTCCTGGGTTGTAACCAGAGGAGGCACTTGTCTAGTTAGCTGTGATGTATGATTAGCCACTAGATTTTGGTCTGGCCTCAATGTCAAGGATGGCTTCCCTGCTTGGGACAAGTTTGGAGTGGATGGAGTCTCAAGGAGACTCATTGGGGCAACTTGGATTGAAGGCAGCATCTGTAATGTAGTGGCGGCTTGTTGTGTCGGTGGTGGCATAGTAGGTGCAGCTTGTCCGATGGAAACATTAGAAGAAATTCCTGCTGGTGGTAGGGTGGATGATGGCACCAGGGAGGAGTCAGATTGCTTCTTAGATACTGTCGGTGGGTCGTAAGGCTTTGGAGCACTAGTTTTGCTTTCTTTAGGAACTGGGCCTAGTGTCTTGGTCTTCTTTTTAGACAGTTTTGATTTAGGTTTAACAGAGGAACTATCTAGGGTTGGTGGTGGAACTAGGGGGAGAGCAGTCGATTTACTAACCTCTTGGTGGGTTGGGCTAGACAGCTGGGCTTCAAGGACTGGGGAATGGGTGATGTCCATTGCAAGTGAGTCTCCACTTGAATTTTCGGAGTTTCCAGCCTCTATCACCTCCTTCCCTTTAATTGCTCCTATGAGATCGGTTTCCTCATCGATCAAATCCTCCATAATTGCAAAGCGATTCTGTTGTGAGGATTTTGCCCCATTACCATTCTCCACTCCCCTTGGTTTCACCATGATTCTCAGGATAGCTTGCAAAGAGGCCGAAACTTTAGTGGGCTGATCAGGCTTCCTGTTCCTTGTCGGCTCCTAGTTATGCACCATCGGATTTTGCCGTTGGTGATTTACGTTGCTACACCATCCATGGGCCAAAAACCATGTTGTTCTCAGCCATATTCGGCTTTAAAGCTTGGGTGAGTTCGATCATTGCTTGGGCATTTGGATTCCCTGTGGAGATTGTCTTTCCTGGATGCTTGTAATGACAATAGTCTTCTGTGTGACCAAATTCTACACAATGAAAACAAATCCTGTGTAAGCCTTCATACTCTACCAAAACCATGGTTTGGGGTAACTCCTCCGGATCCAGGTCGAGTGTTGATGGTAGCTTCTGACTGAGGTCAACTTCCACACAAACTCTAGCGAATTTCTCCCTTGCGCCCAACAGGGTAACGCTATCCACTTTGATTGGCTTGCCCAATTTACTGGCGAGGTACAGGACAATGGCTTCATGAAAACACATTGATGGCGCGCCATGCAACTTAACCCAAACTGCAGTCTTCGGGGCTTTCTCTCTCACCGGATGGAAGCTTGGTTCCCATGGCTGGATGGCCAAGTAGTGGTCAAAAAATTTATATGGGCCTCCTGTTAAGATTCTGGAGCAGTCTACCGGCATGGCAAATCGTACAATGAAATATCCCATACCAACATCGATGACCTCATATTCTTGTTCTGTTCTCCATTCTTTCAATAATCTAGCATTTCCAAATAGCCTTGGGGATTTTCACTTTAGGAACCTTTACTTGCGGTGGATCTGCCCCATCGTCAGCCATAGGAGAATCCACAGCAAGGTTCGCTTTTACTAATTCCTCATATGATACCAGCGGTGGCATTTTATTTGCCAAGCCATCAAGAAGAGTGTCCCGGAACGACTTTGGTGGGTCTGTGGAGCCGTGGGGCTGGCTGGATGGCACCTCATCGGTGCCATGAGTCAGTGCTGACAGAGTTGCTTATCTTTCCTCCGGAAAAATTGCTAATATGTCAGGCGGAGGGGGTGGTTTAGGGAGACTGGGCGCCTCCGGCAACGGGTTGGGGGTTGGGGTCGCAAGCATGGGAGAGAGGAGTTTGAGGTCTGTGAAGGAGAATTTTACTACTCTATGGGATCTATCTCCTATTACAATATCCACCCTATCCTATTTGATATACATTCTCAAATATCAACTATATCATGTAAAAATTTCATATTAATATTTATGAAATTCCAAACTTATCAATATCCCTTCACATTAAGTTCACATATTTAAATTACATAACAAGATAGCGCTTCAGATTACTAGCCTAACTAAAGGTAGAACATAACATTGTTTCCAAATGCATATAATTCAGAGTTTGAAATGTTCTCGTGGGGAGACACCGTTGAGCCCATTAGAGTAGTGGTGTGACACGAAGTCTTTTACAGTTGCTTCACGATAAATTGGAGGATTTTCATCTGATAACAGCTCCTTAATTGGTCCATAGACAGTGGTACTTTCCGTTGGGAGGTGTGTTCTGAAGAAACATGCCATTGAAATTCTTGGACCTACAGCTTTTGCAAGAACTCTGTGATGAACGCTTATAAACCTATCATTGGTAATAAACTGCAAAACGTAACAAACTAAAGATGAATTAGACAAAGCAACATTATTAGGTAGATGTCGTTCAAGAGTCCTATGATACAAACGATGTTGTTTTGAGCTGTTTTGAACTTCGACAAAAATAGATGAGCGTTACAAAAGTTAGACCAAATCAAGAGTAGTAATAGGCAGACATAACAAACTTGCCTGAATTAAGTCAGCCAAATTTACGACAAGAGCTCCATGAATAGGGGTAACATCTATCCACTGATTTTGATAAAGGACCTGTAAGCCACCAAGTTGATCTTGTAAAAGCACAGTAAAGAAGCCAATATCAGTATGGCTACTTACGCCCAATGTGAGGTCCGGTTCAGGGCATGCTGGGTAGTAGTTGCCAGACAAACAAAGACCCTTTGCACAGCCAATGTCTCTCAAGTAATTAGGATCAAGACCAAGAGATTCTGACAGTAGTTGGAGCAGTACTTGTCCTAATTCCATTACCTTGTTTGAATACTCAATTATTATGTCCCTGCAAGGTAATCAAGGAGATAAGATATTTTTATTAAAAAAAAAAAATTGTGCAATTTAGATTATATCAAATTGTAGAATTTAAACCATTAGATAGAGTGGAAATTCATTAATATATGAGATTATTTTTAATTCAATGGTTCTTGTTTTACAAATTAATGCAATTGAAATTGTAAAATAAAAACTCTTTTTATTAGTATAAGAAATAGATGATAAAAATTCATATTACTTGCCCATGATAAAATTTCTTACAAAAATGCTCAATATCTACTTGTATTGAATTTGAAATAGTCTGTGTTTAATAATCTGAATTATACCTATAAATCAAGGACCATCAGATTGAAAACTACGGGCATTTAATGGTTCATGTTGTGCAGTCTGTTACTAAAATATGAATTTTCTTTGCTTACAAAGACATACCTGCAGACTACCGGGAGTTCTTGAGGGTCCGGGGGAGACGGAGCCATGAAACACCACAAAGTATCCCCCCAGTTGGTTACTGGCCCCTGGTACAGATCAAAATTGCTGTAGTAGAGCACTTTTCTACTGGAATAATCCCGAGAATAGATCTCTTTCTTCACTTCAGCATCTTGTTCATGAAATCTCCGAATACCATCAATCATCCCATCCAGAGTGCTCACCGGAATTCCATGATTGACCACCTGAAAGAAACCCCAGTTCTCGCTTGCAACCTGAACTTTTCCGATGACCTCACGGCGCAAGCTTTCATCTTCCGCAATGCCCTTTAAGTCGATGATCGGAATTTCAAAGGATTCCGCTGCAGCAGGGGCATGATTCTTCTCAAGCTTGCGATGCTCATTGACGAATATCTTCGGGATTTTTGTCAACCCTGAATCTAAAAGCCCCTTCACGCCGGCTTTTGATTCGTCGAACACCCTCAGTTCGTATTTCCGGTCATAATCGGATTCTTGAATTGATCCGGCACCGGTCAACACTGTGTCCATCTTGCTGAAGAGATAACAGAGTAGTTCAGGTTCACATATTTAAAGTTGCCTTTTTTGTTATAATATTTTTGGGTTTATCTCTATCGTTATGTGTGTCAACAAGCCGTCAACGCTTCACAAACTTCCAACGGTTTTAAATATATCACTGAAAATATTTATTTTTTTAATATATAAAATAAATGAATAAAAATATATTTATAT